CCATCTATCTATCCATCCATCCATCCATCCATCCATCCATCCATCCATCCATCCATCCATCCATCCATCCATCCATCCATCCATCCATCCATCCATCCGTCCGTCCATCCATCCATCAGCTTTACCTGCTTCTCCATTGCCCCTTTTCCCACACTGTAATGAATTACTGTAAAAATTACTGTAATATTTTACAGTAAAACACACTAAATTTTATATTACAGCACAATACTGTAAATAAAATACCATGAGGTCAGTCAGTTTTTCATTGGACCATTTGATCAGTACACAATTATACAGTGGTGTGCTGTGATTTGGGGAAATATCCGATGCATTTTGGGAAATTAATGGTGGGGATTTCTGGCTGCAGACAGGAGAAACAATTGTTTATCTGGTAAGTGACTTCATTTTTACCTTTTATGTTAAAAATATATTTTTTTATAAATCAATAGTAAGCAATAGCAATATGGAACATATGTTTGGTTAAATTCTTTTGGGCACTTAACCCTGAAGTACGTAACGTTGGACATTTTACTTAAGTAATGCCATTCTAGTGTCTATTTTAGTAACAGTACATTCATTCAACCTTTTTTTCGACAGGTTAGTCCCACGTGCTGTACTGGTACTAAAGGTGCTAATGGAAAGGGGACACTTGTGAAGTTAAACTGACACCTAGGTTACTAAGCTGGGTTTTGCAGGAAACACCTTCAAATGTTTGAGGTTAGTTTTAAGATGGCAGTGATCCGCTTTGATCTTGGCTCTAATCCTACCCAATTAATCCGGTGACATTTAACCTCCGTTTATCCAAATTGAGCTATCTACAACAGGTAAGATATTAACTGTTCATAGTATTCTACAGAACTCCAACTCCAAAAAATTTCAACTGTAGATTAGATCAAACGCATCAATTAAGTTGACTGAGTTTTAACGTTTTGATGAAAGTTTGGGGGTCATATCACAACTCCCAATAAGTTTGTTCTGTAGAAACTTGATTCACAGCGTGACCTTGGAGCGACTCTGCCATCTGAGCTAGAGTCCACTGAGTTCAGATTCATCGAGGGAATCCTTTCTTCTTGGTTCAGACCCTCTACAGACACACATATGCTTCTGTCAGCCCCCTCCACTGAGGCTGACAGTATCTCCTATATTTTCAATCCACCCTGACAAATATTGCAATACATACAGTACACTGAGTAATAAATAACCCTTCCTTCAAATCCCATGCATTTCCTTTTAACTCACAATTACAACACCGTTCTTTGTAATACATAATCATATAAATCTTATTTCCCAATTTGACACTCATTAAAACCACTTATCTTTCTTCATATATATATATATATAGTTTGCATTAAACCATCGTTACACTCACGCACCCACCAGCAACCCAACATCACATTAAAGGACAGATAAAATACCGGCGTGGGGGGCATACAATAATAATCATATTAATCAGTAAAGTTGTTCATAAACAAGCTGGAAACACTGAAAAACTGGGTCTTTTATGTTGCTTTGTTTCAGTCTCCTGATCTTATTGATAAGAATAAATAAATGCATTTAAAAAAACCATAAGCAGACAAGAATATACAGTACTTCATCATGGCTCCGGGTAATGCTGGGCTGTGGCTCCAGCAGGACAACAATGATAGATTCATCCAACACGGTGAAAACATGATAGCAGCATGTCTCTGTTATAGTGTTTCATGTTCAGTGAGTCACATCAACGTCATGGCCAGTGTTTAGTGTCACCAACATCTTCAGACACAACGGGGCCACTTTTATTTGTCACATTTATTTAGTGTATTTTCACAGTGGAGCGACCAGCAAAAACTACAGGACAAACTGATGCATGTTTAATTTATTCTGTGACTATACAAGTTTGTGAAGCTCGTGTTTCTATAGGCATAAAGAGGAAAGGTTTTGGTTTGATATTAGTCTTGCTGAACATGAACATCCAAAAAAAGCCTCTTGTCAAGAAAAGAAATCTGTTTTCTTCTTGCGGCCACATGGTGGCACTAATGAGTCAACAAGTGAACACTGCTCGGAGGCATCATTGCAGATTATTATTATTATTATTTGCTCAAATGGAATAGAAAGACAGTACAGAGAACTACAACAAAAACAGGTGAGAACGTAGTGTCCACAGAAACAAGAAGCCAGCAGAGGGAGGCATGAAGAGAAAGAGAGAGACTGAAATCACAGGAGGAGTGAGAGAAATTTAACAAAGTGTGGCTCATTTCTGTCTGGCAGTGTTCAGGGGTCAAACCAGTCTATCTGGGGCAAACCGAGACTATTGAGGAGGACTGGGTTGTGCTCATTATTACTGGTCCGAACAAGGAAAACGGAGGGACGTTTGGAGTGTGCGTGAACATCGTCATGCAGCGGAGGGGGTTTGGATTTGTTCTGAAAGCTCTAAAATACAGGACGTTTTCTTGATCATGCTCATTTTTAAACCCAAGACGGTTGAGTTTTTGTTTGTCTTCTCTTGCGCACATCTACATATTTTCCTTTTTGACCTTTATCTGTTGTTCCTGATTCAACCTGGAGAAATTAGCTTGTTGACGCGACTGCCTTTATCAAAAGCAACCAACCACCACGGCCTGCCCAGGCGCCGGTTGTTGCTGGATGGATGAACAGAGGGCTGAAGGTATTTCTCCATCACCTGACCCAGGAACTAGCCACGCTGCTCACAGACATGATGCTGCAACGTTTCTTCACCATCATGTTGATGTAGGCCTTCATGATCTTGGCGATCTCTCCAACCTGAAGAGTAAAACAGTCTGTGTTCAGAAAGCTGCCGGCATGTCAGCACTGTTACATCCTTAGAGATCATGGGCACGCCATTAAAAAACAAAACTGTTAAAGCAAACCTTAACAAAAAGTAGTACATTTGAAGTTCATTTTTGCAAGTATACTTTAAGTTAAGTACAAAGTATAAGTATATCAAGTATACTACACCCATACTTGTAATGCACAAGAAAGTATACTGATTTAATACTTGTTTGGACTAAATTGGGACATTTTATGCTATTTTTAAGTATATCAGATAAAGTTTATAAAAAGTAAACTTCAAGTACACTTCCTCATTTTTAGTGTAAAATAAGTATACTTGTAGTATACTTAAATAAACTACTTTGTGCTAAGAGAATGGTTCAAAGATTTTGAAATGGGGTTCCATATAAAACTTATGAACAATTAATAATAATAATTATTATAATAGCATGTTGTCATCATTGTATATTCCCGTACAATGGTGAAAATGGCTCTCTTCATTTAACCCATCCACCCCCAGGTGGAGCAATGGGCAGCTATTGCAAGTGCTGGGGGGGGGAGCAATTGGGGATAGGGTGTCCTGCAATGACTGGGGATCAAACCTGGGACTTTCGGGTCCCGAGTTGGCTGCCCTGCCTCTACCCCATCTCGGTCACCCATAATATAATACATCTAATATCTTAGATATAATTACCTGTTGTAGATAGCTCTTTAAATTACTGAAGGTGGGAGTTTGCATGGCTAGTATGAGAGAGACCAAGACTAAAACTGGACATCTTTTGTCTTAAAATAGGTATAATTTCAAATATTTCATATCAGTTTGTGCAAACATTAGTTTAGACTGTTACACCGCCATCGGTTACAGATTTAGTCGTGGAGAAATATCATGATATTCCTGCAGCAGGTGCTTCACGCTAAACCCAAATCATCGGATGTTGAGAAACGATGGTGTTACAGCCAAACTGGTCAAACTTGGTGTAGTTTGGATACTTGTTAGTTTTTAATAATTTTATTAGATTTATTCCCCTGGTGGTTTGTTTTCTGTATCGTGTGACTCTGGTGTTGAGTTCTGCTACATGTGTGTTTGTCTGATCAGTCTACCTGTGTGACAGTAGTTCAGTTTCCCCAAGTTCAGATCCAGATGTGTCAGTGTTTTCAGTCTTGTTGTTTCCTCCTCTGTCTTCAGTTCAGTTGTCCTCTGTTCAGATCCTGCTCCTCTGCTCTACCACACCCATTCCCACCTGTGCCTTGTCTCTTATTCAGTGCAGCTGTTGGTTTTACTTATATAACCCGTCAGCCTTCATCTAGAAGTCAGTAGAGTTCATGTTTTCGTGCCACAGTCCCCCCCACCCAAACTCTGCCTCTGTTTTTTCTTCTGTAAGTTGCCGCCTTGTCACCTTTTGATTGAACTGTTTGTTGCTTTAGTGGATCTTCTTGAGTCACGTCTGCATTCATGGGTCTGAAACGGACATAGTGATAGCTATAGCATTGTAGTTCATTTAGCTGTTGCAGCCATCTTGAATTGGATTGATGCCCAAAGTTATAGTTGTAGATTTATGTATAGCTTTCTGAGAGTCACATTAAAATGTGTTCAGTGGTTCATGAAATGTTTTGCTAACAGGCAAAATTAACTAACAGTTGATGGAAAAGTTTTGGGTAAAGACGTTGCACCATGTGTGGCGCTCGGAGTTTGTGTCGGGGAGGAAGGTCAACTATCATCACGTTAACTTTTAGCACAATATCTTTAGAAATGACTGAGCTATTTTTGTTTGTCAAGGTTCTTAGCTGTGGCGACCATTTTTAAATAAGGTTGACTGTAAAATTTAATCATTTGTCTAGTGGCGACTGGTGACAATAACCATATAATGTCAAACTAACGGTGACGTAACCCCACTTGAACTAGCCATTAGCTTATGAATCCTGCCAGGATTAAAGCGAGTCTCCAAACTGAGGTTATCTAAAACAGGGAAGATACTGATGGTTTACAGGCTTCCCTCAAAACTCCATTTCAAAAATTCTGAACTATTGCTTTACCTTCATGCGTTAATAATATGCTATATAAAATGTTGACTTTGATGCTAGCATCACTCTTTAAAGAAACAGCTCAGAATCAACCAATTAGTTGATTTTGGTTGGTTGAACTAGTTTACATTTAAAACATTCAGCTGAAAATGTAAAATTATTAATTTGAGCCCTAAAGTGTAACACATTAAATGAAGACTGGCGTCTCACCTGTGGAGTCTCGAAGAACATCTCTCTCTCATCCACGATGATCTTATAGGTGCAGGGTTGTGACGCTCCGAAGAAGGTGATGTGTTCGTACTGGAAGGTCTCAAGTGGTTTGGGTTCGCCCCGTTTATACACAGAAACATTGTCAGCACTCACGCCCAGCCACAGATCATGAGGAAACCCTCCTTCTTTACACTAAAGCACATTTAAAGAAGAAAAGTCCCCACTTTCAAACGTGCTCTTTGAAAACAGTTTGATTTATCGTTGTGTTTTGTATCTATAGTCTTCTCACCTCCACATCGAACAGAGTAGACCCATATCCAGGCCACTCTTTGATGATGCTCATGTATTTCAGCATGGCCTGGTGCTGTGGCATGCCCTGCAGACGGGCCCACTTCTCCAGTATGCTTGTGCGCGTGGCAGATGTCTCCTCCTTCACCCACATCTCCAGCCGTTGCTCCCCCTCCACCTGAAACCATCCGGTAAACTGCAGTCAAACTATCAGTCAAGCGACAACCCAAACAGGATTATGCTCTCACCTAGTGAAGAAAATAAAAAATAAAATTATAGATATCAGCAGTGTGTCCGTCCCTCCTTCTCCACCACTGACCTTCTGTTTCTTCAGTGAGCCCGTTTTGGTTCTCTTCAGCGAGGTATCCCTGAAGGTGGGAGTCTTTCGTTTCTCCGAGCCCGTCCCGACACCGCCCTGTCCTCCGATTGAACCGATCACATCCGCTATTCCTCCACTTCCTCTGCATCCGGCTCCTGCTGCTGCGCCTACACCGGGCTTGGTGGACTGCAGGATGCGGTTACGGAGACGTCCGATAGGATAGACGCTTCCCAGACTCCAGCCGGCCCGACCTGCTCCATCGCCGTGGAGATACTGGAGCCGCAAAGCTGCCAGGTGCTGCAAAGTCTCCTCAGAGGCTGGGAAGTGTCCGCTTATCAAAGACTCATGGGCCTGAAAGATGGAAACATCACGGTCGATTTTTCATATGAAAAGACTGAGAATTAGAAAGTTTCTGCTTAAATTTTGAACAATGACTCCGCAGCTACTGCCTAAAATTCAAACGTCACATTTTTAACATTGGTGCTAAGAAAAACACTTTCGTTTTGACAAGTAGTGTAAAAGAACCAAGATCGAATTTAAAACCTACAGAGAGTGGCTCATTATGGTCACCATGGTAACAAAACACCTACAGTATGTCTGTCACTCCCTGACTGCACTCAGGTGGAAACAGACTGACAGGTAAACCTTACACTTCCTGTTCTGAAGAGAATACTTTGAGTTAAAACAAAAACAAAAATCTTTGCATTCTGAGAGGATTTAAGAGAAAATATGATTCTAATCCAGTGAGAGACAAACTGTGTTAAAGTACCAGTAGACTAAAATGCATTCATTTTGATGTATAATTTGTTTTTCCATGGATCTGCTCTGTGGAAATGCAATTTAAAAACAACGTCTAGAGTCCAATGATTTGGGGGCACTTGTGGTGAATTTGGGTATAAAAATAGCAGCACGATCCTTTATCAGAAGAAGAAGAATACCTTTTTTTAACTGTTTGGCTAATAATTAAAGCACAGAGTGTGTTTGAAATCTTACCTGTTCAAACAGGAATGCAAACTCCACGCCCTCTTTCGGCATGCTCTCAACATCCAAGAAGCAGTAGAGTTTGAAGTATAGTTTCCACTCTCCCTCCTCTTCCTCCTCTTCGCTTCCTGCCAGTCTGAACACAGAGAAAACAACTAATGGATCAAAATGACCAAAGCAAACTATTAACTGTAAAATGGTGGTCAAACAGACCCTTTAAAGCAGAACAATGTCCAGAATAAATGGCGTACCTCTCAAACTTGGCCAGGACATCTGCTACTATCACTCTGCTCTCAAGAGCTCGATCTGTGAAGCCGTTGTGTTCAAAGAGAGAAAACAGGTTCTTGCTGTCCTCCATGGCCAGACCTCGGATCAGCTTCTCCACAACCTGCAGCAAAGAACATCAATAAAACCAGATGTGTTTTCAGCTTCAGTCATCATGATTGGAGTTGAGCTGGCATGGCATCACTGAGCATCTTAGCTGAGTATCTGCACCTTCAGGATGAAGATGGACACGTCACTGTGTTTGAGTGTGTGTCTAGTTTCAAGAAAATCCGAATCAGAATAAGCTTTATTATCATTGTACCGAGATACAGTGAGATTATGTTCGTACAGTCGTCTGAAAGATGGGCGGAGTGCACGTTGCTGCTGCTACAAGAGTGCGGCCTCTTATCCTTTATCAGAATACTTTTTAGATAGAAAAAGTTAAAAGCCATGAGGATGGATAGTGATATTACAAAAAAGATCTCTTCACATCTTGTCCTTTCAGGACACGACTTAAGACATCAAAAAAACTCTACCAGCAGCACATTTATAAACACATTACATACGCATTTGATGTCAAGACGAGGAGATTTGTTCATAAAGCACTTCCAGACAGGCCATAGTCCTGATAAGATGTTGGTCAGCAGGCAGTTCTGATAAGCTTGCACAGAAGGTGGTGGTGGGTGGGTGGGTGGGGGTGGGGGGTGTTGCGATAAACAAAGCTTTTTCTTTAGTTTACCCATGTCCCAGGAGAAATTTGGTAGTCGGCCTGTTTCCGAGGCCCAAACAGGGGAGTCAGATTCAGATAAACCTAAGACAAGACTGTTTTTTTTCATGTCAGCCTTGAGTCCTGCTGGTACTTTCCAGATCCAAAATAGCCAGATTTATGGGCATTCCACTGATCCGTACTATGAGCCTCATTCAAGGTCGTCTCCAACATGTTGGCGAGTCCCAGAAGCCGCAGGTGGCGTGCGATTCTCATAAATCGCTTCCATCTTACGGTTCCATCTTGCAGTTTGACTCCCATCACCATTTGGAGCACAAGTTAGGAGTCATCAGGACTCTGTACCACAGAGCAGACATCGTCCCCACTAACTCAGGAGCCAGGCAGAAGGAGAAATCCCACACAAGACAGGCTCTAGAGCACATTTGTCAAACTCCAGGCCTCGAGGGCCGGAGTCCTTTGTATTGTGAGGGTTTGCTGGGAACGTCTGGCAGAGTCTCATGTGAGACGGAGTTTTAACTCCCACCTCCGGGAGAACTTCGAACATGTTCCGGGGGAGGTGGGGGACATTGAGTCTGAGTGGACCATGTTTCGTGCCTCTATTGTCGAGGTGGCTTACCGGAGCTGCGGCCGCAAGGTTGTCGTGTCTGTCGTGGCAGCAACCCTCAAACCCGATGGTGGACACCGTCGGTGAGGGATGCTGTCAGGCTGAAGAAGGAGTCCTATCAGGCCTTTTTGGCCTGTGGGACCCCGGAAGCAGCTGATGGGTACCAGCAGTCCAAGCGACATGCGACTTGGGTGGTCGGTGAGGCAACAATTCGAGGCGATTCTGGTCCACCATCCGGCATCTCAGGGGGGGAAAGCAGTACACCACCAACACTGTTTATAGTAGAAGTGGTGTGCTGCTGACCTCAACTCGGGATGTTGTGGGTCGGTGGGCAGAATACTTTGAAGACCTCCTCAATCCCACCGGCACATCTTCTACTGAGGAAGCGGAGCCTGGGGACTCTGGGTCGGGCCCTCAAATCTCTGGTGCTGAGGTCACCGAGGTGGTTAAAAAGCTCCTCTGTGGCAGGGCCCCAGGGGTGGATGAGATTCGCCCGGAGTTCCTTAAGGCTCTGGATGTTGTAGGGTTGTGTTGGCTTATGCGACTCTGCAATATTGCTTGGACATCGGGGGAAGTTCCCCTGGATTGGTAGACCGGGGTGGTGGTCCCCCTATTCAAAAAGGGGGACCGTAGAGTGTGTTCCAACTACAGGGGAATCACGCTCTTAAGCCTCCCTGGTAAGGTCTAATTGGGGGTTCTGGAGAGGAGGGTCCGTCGGATAGTCGAACCTCGGATTAAGGAGGAGCAGTGCAGTTTTTGTCCTGGCCGTGGAACACTGGACCAGCTCTACACTCTCAGCAGGGTCCTGGAGGGTGCGTGGGAGTTTGCCCAACCGGTCTACATGTGCTTTGTGGACTTGGAGAAGGTGTTCGACCGCGTCCCTCGGGGAACTCTGTGGGGGGTACTCTGGGAGTATGGGGTACCGGGCCCTTTGATACGGGCTGTTAGGTCCCTGTATAACCGGTGTCAGAGCTTGGTCCGCATCGCCGGCAGTAAGTTGGGCTTGTTCTCGGTGAGAGTTGGACTCCGCCAAGGTTGCCCTTTGTCACCGATTCTGTTCATAACTTTTATGGACAGAATTTCTACTATTTCTTTCTACTGTTTGTGAAAGACACATCAGCTCCCACACCCCCCACGGGTCCATGACATATCCTTCATCGTGAGTCTCAGCGGGACATGAGGGCTCTATCGATTGTGTTGAAAGTCCAGCTCACCAGATCCAAAATAGTATTTTTCATTCGGAAGACACAGACACAGACAGAGAGCAAAAAAGCAGGAGGAAGAGGAGAACAGGGGAGGGGAAGGAAAATGTTTCCACCTTAAGCGAGAGTAGAAAAATTATGCATGTTATATCCATTATTACTAATAATAATATTAACAGGGAGAAAAAAGCCTGCCCCCAAGAGGGGTGGGCACTGGGCAGCTATATGAGCGCCCAGTTCTGTCAATGTTGTTCAGCGGCAGGAAGCTGCTGAGAGACGGCAGGAAGCCTGTCAAAATAAAATATAAAAATATAAATTATTAATAATATTAACAAGGGACTATGCAAATATAATTACTTAAAATTTACATAAAATAAATATACTTAAATTTGTTTAATTTAAGTAAATTTATTTATATGATGTTTACTAAGTTAAATGGACACAACACAAGGGTAAATTAGACAATTGTGTCATATTTTCTACCTAGCAACAACAGTTGGTCCTCACAAGCATGTCAACCTTTTTTTCTTCTTGGCGTTCTTCCATATTTGAAGTGACATTGTGACTCCCCATTACCATCTAGTGTTTGATTTGTTTTAAATATATTTCTAGCTCTGCTGGAAGTCCACTCAAAGACACTAATAACACTTTAAAAAAAAAAAAATATTTACCCTTTATTTATACGGGTAGTCTCAATGAGTCACGAGAACGCAAGAAAACCTGTTTGGGAGCAGATGGTGGGGGTTAAGGGCCTTGCTCAAGGGCCCAGAGTGGGGCAAATGAGGGTGGAGGCAGGTGTGGGTGTTTCACTTTTTCCACCCACACTTTGATGTTGTCAGTCCGGGGAGTTGAACTTGCGACTTTCTGATCACAGGCCCATCTTCTCTAACCTCTGTGCCACCACTCCCCATGTCACAGTCCTCACAAAGAGATAGAGACGTGCGTGTATGTGTGTGTGTTCACCTCTCCAGCTGTGGTGTGGGAGTTGATGGAGATCTTGCAGGAGCCCCCTCCATGGCAGTAAACAGTGGTGCTCATTTCCTGTCTCAGCAGGAGGGCAGCAATCTCCTCCTGAGACGGAACAAACTCACGAGTCTTGGTCTTCTTTAAGGATTCCCCGATGAAACTTGCATATCGTTCGATCTCAGTGCCGGGATAGCGTTCACGTATCCTACAAGATGAAAACATGTTAGGCGGGGATCATCCATCAAAGATGTATAATCACGCTGCAGAACACGTACCGTTTCAGGTGGAAGCGGAGGTATCTGAGGATGGCTCGGCTGGGTAAAAAAGTGCAGCTCATGCAGGTGAGCAGGTGCCAGTGGGCCCGATTGGCTGGGCTGTTTGGCTGAGGCACATGATTGGTCTGTTTGATCACCTGGCAATAAACCTAAAAGAACAAAAATGGAAGTGGGTTGGAGAAAGCTCAATGTTTTGTTTTGTATTTACATGTTAGAAATACCTAACCTTATAACGACAAAAAGATGAGCTGTATGCATCCAGATTATGGTGACACATACTTGACCTGTGTTTTTAATTTTTTTAGACATAAAAAAAAAAACAGAAAAGAACCTCATCCCTGAGAGGGCGCAGGTCCTGGCAGGTCTGCAGGATACCCTGAATGATGGGCACCGTGTCTGCCAGCGTCTCCATCTCCTGCAGTGAATTAAAAACTCTCACCGCCTCGTCCTGCAGGCTGGCATAACCCTGCTGCCTTTGCACTGCAAGCAGAAAAAATGATTAGAGAAAGTTAAGCAAGGACAGAGAAATCAAGGCAGAGGTACTTAATAATCAAAAATATATTTCTGAAAGATCATTCATAAAAAAAAACTGCAATGCACAGCTAGAGAAGTTACCAGTCGTTAGCCTTTAGCATCTATAACAACTCTTTAATGAAACCAGGATGAAGAGTTACAACAACATTTAATTTCCCTTTGGGATTAATAAAGTATTTTTGAATTAAATTGAATTGAAGTTACATTTTCTGTGGAAATGTGAATGCTGAGTGCTGAATGACCTGACTGAAATTTGCTATAGAAGCTAAACATGCGTTGTCAAAGCTAAAATAATCTTAGCAATAGCTGAATACAAAAAAAAAAAAAGCATAGCTACAAGCTAAAAGTAGCAAAAAATCAGCTAAAAGCACAAACAGAGAACCTAAAAGCTAAAGAAACAAAACGCTAGCTAAAAGCCAAAATGAGTAAAATGATATCTGGAAGATACTGTAGTCTAGCTCCAAGTTAAAAATAGCACATTTCTAGCTAAAAGTAGCAAAAGGTTAGCTAAAAATTAAAGTTGCAAAAAGCTCACTAAAAGCAGTTGTAGATGTAGTAGTAGTAGTAGTAGTAGTGAAATGGTAGATAGATGTTCATAGTAGCAAAAAGTTAGATATAGTTTATTTAAGTTACTACAAGTATACTTATTTTACATTAAAAATGAGGAAGTGTACTTGAAGTTTACTTTTTATAAATTTTATTTGATATACTTCAAAATAGTATAAAAATGGCCCAATTTAGTCCAAATAAGTATTAAATCAGTATACTTTCTGGCACAATACAAGTCTGGGTGTAGTATACTAGATATACTTATTTATATATATATATATATATATATATATATATATATATATATAGTTAACTTAAAGTATACTTGCAAAAATTAACTTAAAATGTACTACTTTTTGTTATAAGAAACAAATTGTTTGCTAAAAGTAGCAAAAGGCTTTATAAAGGCTAAAAATAGCCGAATGGTAGCTAAAAAATAAAAGCAAAACAAGAAGATAAAACTTGAATAAGCATGCATATTTTCAAAAGGAACATGTTTTTAAGAAGGACTCTGTAACTCTGTGGAGAAAACGTTAATAGTTAAACATGTTGAAAAGTATAAAATTGAACTAAAATACCCTCCGTAAACTCTTATCAACCATTTCCTGAACGAGCTGAACATTTTGATCTGTGAATGCCTAAAATACTATATAATATGCAGAAGTCATTCTATAGAAAAATCTTACAAAAAATAAATAAATAAAAAAACAGTAAAACTATATTGCACAAGCTGAACAAGCATTGATGCAAGATAAAAGAAGAGTGAGGTGAAGGGGAGCTTCACTCACAGCTGGCGACCTCTCCATAAGGGAGCGGCAGCAGAGGGGCGTGCAGAGGGTGCTGGGTGTATCTAAGGATGGGGTTCCTCCGGTACATCTGCTCCACGATTTCTGGGTTCAAGCTGTTCTCCTGAGGGGACACAACCAACAGAAACTCACCTTATTTACACAAATCTGCTCATGAACTTAAACTTGTGCTGCTAATGGAACTTTGTTTTACCTTAATGTCTCTGATGAGCTGCAGAGTTGGAGTTTCGATTGGAGTTTTGCTTTCTATGACTCCCAGTATTGCAGCTGTCCATCTCATGGCTTCATTCAGCATCTTGGTGTACAGGCGATAGGAATGCTTCCTTCCATACACTATGATGTTCCAGTACCCTGTAAAAGCACAATAAAACCAGCACTTATCACATATACTTGAACTTAAAGCAGTGAAATAGGTGTTAAATCATGGTTCATGATAACTCTTTTTACTTAACCGAGCACTTCACTCTCAGACTGCAGGCTTAGTTGTGGTTCCTAGAGTTTACAAAAGCAGAATGGGTGGCAGAGCTTTCAGTTATCAGGTTCCTCCCTTGTGGAACCAATTTCCAGTTTCTGTCCATGAAGCTGACACATTTTCCAGTTTTAAAACTAGGCTTAAGGCTTTCCTTTTTGATAAATCCTATAGTTAAGGTCGGTTTGGGTTTCCTGAGCTGTCCCTTAGTTATGCTGCTATAGGCTTAGACTGCTGGAGGACAAAGTGGTCACATTTCTTCGCTCTGCTACTGTTTTTACTTGCTCTGCTCAACCTGTTTTGTATTTGTAATTATGTTTTCTAGCCTAACGTGTGTTTTTGTCTTTCAGGTGCACCTGCACCTACATCTGGACCTGCCATTCTGTGTTCGTTTGTCTCTACTTCTTGTCCTCTCAAACCTAATCGGTCAAAGCAGATGGCCGCTTGTCCTGAGCCTGGTTCTGCTGGAGGTTTCTTCTTGTTAAAAGGAAGTTTTTCCTTTCCACTGTTGCCATTGTGCTTGCTCAGGATGGGAGATTGCAACAAAGTTAAGATTCAATGAGTCTGCTGCTTCCTTAGATAGAGAACTTTTACTAAATTGGCTTTTCTATGTATGTGAATGTTTCTGCTCAGTGCCCTGAGACAACTTTGATGTTTATTGGCGCTATATAAATAAACTGAACGGAATTGAACTTAGGCTAGTAAAACTAAGTTAGCGGTACAATTTGGCTTACCGGTCTCCCTGTGCACCCGTTCGTCCGGCTGGATGACCGAACAGAGGGAGTTGAGGACCAGAGTTCCCATCTTGGAGGAGTTTCGTTCTGAGTTCTTGTAGTAATCCAGCGAGTTGTTGGTCAGAACAAACCAGCGTTTCTTCAGCTTCAGGGAGGTGCTCTTAGAGTTTGTCTTCATCTCTTTGTGGAGCCAGCCTGAAGATGATGAGGTGGAAAGGGAAGGGATGTAAAAGGCAGATAATGAAATTAATGTAGCTTCTATGAAAATTAGGCCACTGGAAAAACGTGTTGTTCCCAGCAAACCTTTCCAGTTTATTCAACACATAAAAATAACCTAACATTGAATGGTTTGTAACACTAGAACCTGAACTCATTTAAAATGACTAAATATGCTCGTTTGTCTGAATGTCTCACCTCTGGCGAGGAACTCCTGTCCGTCTATCCTGGAGTCTCCTTTGGGTTTCTGCAGCAGGCTGATCCAGTGATGCATCTCTTCTGGGGTGTCGCTGTTGCAGTGGATCACACGGTTGGCCGTGATGATGACAAACGAGTTTGGACTGCAAAATGTTAAGATAAAAATCTTGTTAATAAAAACACATTGTATGTCACTTTCATTCATCAAACTGGATTTGCTTTCTTCTTCCTATTCTCTTCAAATTCTCAGTGTTTTAAGCAAATATATACAAAGTAGACTGAGAAGACTGGCTTTATATTTGATGATTTATTTTGAAGTCAGCCCAATTCAAGATGGCCACCACAGACAACAGGAGATCCATAAATGGCTGTAACTTGGTCAGTTTTACAGATATTCAGATAAGAATTGCTCAGATAGTAGCTGTGTCATCCTAATACCATAACATGACTGCTACATAGGACATGACCTTTGCTTTAATTTTGTTTTTGCCATAATTGTTGGAGTGATACTGGTCTGTCTCTTAACAAAATATCTGATGAACCACTAAAACTATTTAACTGAAATTCTCTTCACCGAAATCAGCAATGGATGAACTTTGAAGGATTTTTCATTTCATGATGGCCACCACAGCTTACTGTTATCTTTAAATTTTAACCAAACTGCCAACAACTCCTTCATTCTCATCATCTTTTCAACATCTCAGAATTTTAGACAAAACTCTGGCATCAAGGCAGTGGGTGTCCATTCCATCCCTTAAATGATTTCCTAACGTTTGTGTTTCTGCATGCTTTTTTAAACTCTGCAATTAAGTTTATTTTTAGAATCAGAATCGGAATCAGAATAAGCTTTATTATCATTGCACCGAAGTACAGCGAGATTATATTCCGTACAGTCGTCCAAAAGATGGACTGAGTGCACGTGGCTGCAGCTCCTAGGAGAACAAATTCTTTAGAAAGAAATGGGGAAAGACCATGAGGATAGGCTCGTGGTATTACAACAAAGATCTCTTCACACCTTGTCCTTGTCAGGACACGATTTAAGACATCAAAAAACTCTACCAGCAAGAACATTTATAGACACATTACATCTGCACTTGATGACAAGATGGTGAGATTTGTCCATGAAGCACTTCCAGATAGCACCATAGTCTTGATAAGATGTTAATGTCAGTCGGTACAGCTCTGATAAGCGTTCACAGAAGTTCTGGGGGGTGCGTGGAGAACAGATAGAGCAGAGCCTTCTTAGTTTACGTACATCTCTGGAGAAATTTGATAAGTTGTCCTACTTCAAGGCCTAATGGGGAGGTGAGATTCAGATAAGCCACAGATGTATTTTGTTCAGGCAGACTGTTTTTCTCATCAGCCTTGAGTTCTGCTGGTGCTATCAATATCCAAAATGGCCAGATTTGTAGACATTCCACTGGTCCGTGCTCATTAGCTTTCTCCAAGTTCAACCCCAACATGCTGGCGAGTTCCAGAAGCCGCAAGTGGCCTACGATTCTCATAAATCGCTTCCATCTTACGGTTGAGCTCATAAATCAGCTGAGTCTGAGAACTCGAAGCACAAACCAAACCTTCACATAAAGTCAGCAGCTTTACCATGGCCGAAACTGCTGCCACCGTCTTCCTTAATAGCCGATAACATATAGTAGGTGTCCGACGGTGCCAAAAAGCAGAAACCCTGCTATCATAAATCCAATGATCTTCGGCGTCCTCCTGAGACAGCACAGAAAGGCACAACATATCCATGACGTACCCTGCCACATGTGTCTCAGTCGGACATGAGGGTTCTCCAGGACCCTGTTGCTTAGTTGAAAAACAAAAATGATCAATTGCGTTGAAAGTCCAGCTGACCAAATTCGTGACAGTAATTTATGATCGGAAGATGTGTAAATAGAAGCTCCGATACACAGGACAGAGAGCAACAATGCAGGAGAGGGAAGAAAAAGCATCCGTCGTGCTCGAGAGCGAGTAAGGGGGGAAAAAAAAGTATATTGCCTCTTCCAGGAAAGCGATCATCAGCATACAAAGAAAGCCATTTATGAAGTCTTCTCTATTACTCTTTGAGACACTGGATAAAAAACCCAGTAAAACGTCTCCAGTGGCTCACCGATCAGGGTTGTCTGATGCACAAACAGAGTCGATCAATCCCACATCAAGGGTTCCCTAAACAAAAGAAGAAGGCGAGGAAAATAAACATTATAAAACTCACAATAATTGTTTAATATTACTATTATAGGCACATAATAAAAAAGTGCAAACATAAAGAAGAAAAACAGGATTAATTTGAAATGAGATTAAACGGCTGATTTATTCAAAGACTTACAACAGCATTTTTGGGGTTGGCCTGCTCATGAGACATTTCTAGCAGCTGCTCAGGCGTGCACACTCTCACCTTGCTGAGCACATTAAACCACCCGCTGCACAGAAAGATAGAAAACATTTGCATCTTATAAACTTACAGAAGCATATTTCAGTTCTATTGTATCATTGCAAACATCTCCATCATACCTTGCGTCTTCTGGCGACTCAGCAAAGACCTGGTACGTCCTCTCGTCTGTCACGATGTTCAGAGCGTTCTCCTTTTCATGATTGTCGACGATCTCCCTGTAAAAGCACAAACAGGGTCAGAGCCGTCGAGCTGTCATTTAACGGGTTAACAGTTTAATAAGGCGGGTCTTCTATTGTGATGCATTTTTCTTCCATACGTTTTTCAGCATTTTTCTTGTTCCATAATTTTTTGTGCTATTTTAACAAATCATAAATCAAAACGTTCAGCTCTTTCAGGGCAATCCTGCCATGACTTTGGTATTGATGCAACTTTAATTTTTTACAATATTTAGCCATTTCTGCCACATTTTCTCTCATAGGAAATTAATTGAGCTCATTTTACATCCTTCATATCTTTAGATCGGTTTACAACCTTTCCTGTGGACCCACCACCTGCAGGAAGGGCCATAAAAGTCAGGTGCATGATGCCATGGGCAGTGGCCGAAGGCGGGGACCTTGGCGCTCTGACCCTTACTTACCAGAAATGCTCTTGGGACATGGAATGTAACCTCTCTGGCAGGGAAGGAGCCTGAGCTTGTGTGCAAGGTTGAGAGGTACCGACTAGATATAGTTGGGCTCACCTCGACACACAGCATGGGCTCTGGAACTGATCTCCTTGAGAGGGGTTGGACCTTATTCCACTCTGGAGTTGCCCACTGTGAGAGGTGTCGAGCTGGTGTGGGTCTACTTGTAGCCCCCCGATTTGGTGCCTGTGTGTTGGAGTTTTCCCTGGTAGATGAGAGGGTGGCTTCCCTTCTTCTTCGGATGGGGGGATAGGCTCTGACTGTTGTTTGTACCTACGCATCAAATTACAGTTCAGAGTATCCGGCGTTCTTGGAGTCCTTGGCAGGGGTGCTGGAAGGTGTGCCAGCTCGGGACTCCTTTATTCTGCTAGGGGACTTCAATGCCCACGTGGGTAATGACAGTGTGACCTGGAGGGCTGTGATTGGGAGAAACAGCCTCTCTGATTTGAACCCAAGCGGTGTTCTATTGTTGGACTTATGTGCTAGTCATAGTTTGTCCATCACGAACACCATGTTCGAACATAAGGGTGTCCATCATTGCACTTGGCACCAGGACGCCCTAGGTCGTAGATCGATGATTGACTCCATAGCCGTATCATCTGATTTGCGGCCGTTTGTTTTGGACACTTGGGTAAAGAGAGGAGCTGAGCTGTCAACTGATCACCACCTGGTAGTTAGTTGGATCAGATGGCGGGGGAATATACCAGAATTTTTTTCCTGCTATTCTACGGTGAAACCAGACGTGTTTTCCCTCT